TCGAGGAGCGGGCGCGGGGCGGGGACATGCCGCGCCGCGGCGGCGACCTGCAGCAGACCAGGGGGCAGGCAGGTGCAGGGACTAAGCGCCACCCCAGGCCTGAACACCAGCATCCTCCGAACGTCTGCTCAGAAATAAGGCGCGCCTCAGCGCCCAGGAGGCTGCCCGCCTGCTGCCACCCAGCAAGCGTGGCCGCCCTCGCCACCTCCCTCCTCCAGCATTAAGGCCGCCGCCACCTGCCCCTCCCCCACCCGGTGCGCCTTCCCCTCCCCCAGCGCCCAGCCCACCTGCTGCGCGGCCTCAGCGAGGCCAGGGGCGGGCCGTGGTGCGCGTGGCGGCCGCGCGGCATGATGGGTATGTTGTTGGGGTCGTCCTCGGGGCGCTGCAGCGGGTTCTTAAACGTCACGCGCACAGACGGCACCAGGTCGCTGCAGGCACAGGGTGGAGGAGAGGAGGGAAGGCGGTTGAGGGGGGACGTGTCAAGGGGGGCTGATGGTGCCTGGTGCTGCAGGCGGCGGCCAGGGTTTGCGGGGTGCGGAGCAGGCTGTCGCGGCCAGGCGTGCCACAGAGATACAGACCGCTGGCACGCAAAGGGGCAGGCGGGCGGGCGGGCATGGCCAGGCGGGCGGGTGCGGCTCACCCGCGCGGCGGCATCATGCCGGGCGGCGGTCCTCGTGGCGGCGAGCGGCGGTCATACGGCGGCGAGCGGCGGTCGTACAGCGGCGGCGGCGGGCCGCGCAGGTCACCTGCACGGAGCACACTGGCGCCGCCGCAGCTGAACCCAGCTGCCAGCCAGCAGCCAGCCGAGAGCTGGCTCCTGCTGCTGGCCAGGCTCCCGACTGCAGAGACAGGGGCTAGGCTGCCGGTGCTGCTGAGGTGCTAAACACGCGCAGAGCATCGGGGATGGGACGGGGCAGATCCTTGCCCCAGCTGTGCAGTGAAGCCCGACCCGCAGAGCCGCAGGCAGCAGAACCACGAACGCCCGCAGTGGCAGCCAGCCACTCCAGCCTCTGCGCCCCCGCACAACACGCTGCCACGCTGCATGCCCGCTGCTGCTGCCTGGCTGCATGCTGGATGCAAGGTGTGGGGAGCGGCTGACCATGCCCGTTTGGGGGCCGCTCAAGAGGGAATGCAACACATGGGGGCCCCTCGCCTCGGCTGCCAGCTCTCGGGCGTCCTGGCCCGCACGTGCGGCTGCCCAGGCCCAGCCGGCCAGCCACGCCTGCTGCTGCTGCTGCTGCACAGCTGCACACCTGGTGGCGGGCCGCCCATGCCCCTGGGCGGCAGGTCGAAGTAGCGCGGCGGAGGGCTGTGATGGCGGCGCAGGTCTGGCGGCGAGCGCCGCCGCTCGTGGCTCCTGCCCATCGGGCTGTACCCGCGCGGCGGCGAGCGCGCCCGCCGGTGCATTGGGGGCGCTATGCTGCTTCAGCGGCCAGTGGCCGCTGCTATAGGGGCTGTGGGGCGGGGTGCGAGGGCAGGGCGAGGCTGTGCGCGCCGTGCGGCTGCAGGCAGAGCCTGGGGACTGCCTGCGGCGCAGGAAGGGACAGGGAAGGCGAAGGGCCGGGCCGTGGGGCGGTCAGCGAGACAACAAATCACTGGGGCAGGAATTGCGGCGCTGCGGAGCGCTGGCGCGGCTGCAGGAGTGCAGGAGCCCGTGTTCACCGACCTGGGAAGACGAGGGTGTGTCCAGATGCTCAAAGACGCCGGGCAGGGGCGCGATCAGGAGTGCGCCGCTCCTGCAAGGCTGAGAAGCAGACTGGGGTCGGTTGACAGCGCCCAATTGGATGTCAGGGGCTGGACAGGCCGGTTTCAAGCGTGTTTGAGGAGCGGGATCCCGAGTTTCCACCTCGCTCTGCATGGACACCCGCCAGTGCCCCCAGGCCCAAATTGGCATTGTGCAGACTGTCGCCATCGCTGGCACGACACCCTCCAGGCGCCGGCGGCGCGGGTCGGGGTGGCGTTTGCGCTTCTCCACAAAATTCACGCAGCTGGCCACCAAGCAGGTGGATCAATCTGCATCGCACGCCCGTCGTCCAATGCATTGATCGCCAATCTTTACAGCCGCGCTGCCGCAACGCAGGCGATGGCAGACTTCATTGCACTGGACGGGACCCTACTTGCCAGTGGGGATGATGAGGAGCAGTCTGAAGGTCCAGTGGAGCATCAGGAGGAGCATGGCGCATCTGCCGACCAGGGCGAGGCAGCAGGGGGGGCGCCGCCTTTGTCGCCGGTGGAGCTCGTGCCCAGCTACCTAGCCAAGGCTGTTGCAGAGGTTGCTGCTGCAGCGGCAGCACAGGAGCGCAGCAGCCAGGCTGCTCAACAGGCTCAAGCACCCACAGGAGAGGACAAGGCACCGCCGCCGCCCAAATGGCAGCACCCAACAGCAGCAGCAGCAGCAGGCACGCCCAGGACAGAGGAGGAGGGGGCAGCATTAGCGGGCCCTGCCGAGCTGCCAGTTGCAGCAGCTGAGCACACCGCAGTGCCTGCCCTTGTCGCCACTGCAGCTGCCGAGGCCTCAGCCCCTGCCACATCACAACAGCTGCCTGAGGGAGAAGGGAAGGCACGCGTCGCCGCCCCAAGCGGGGATAGGCTGGCAGAACCGCCCGTGCCAACCCCGGATGTGCAAGAGGGGACAGCTGCGTCGCAGACTGACACGGCAGGAAGCCGGAAGGGCGCGCTGCTGCCGCCTGCAGCCACAGGGGTAGTTGGGGAGGCGGCATCCGCTGAGCGTGCTGGGGCAGCGGCTGCAGCAGAGCGTGCCGGGCAGGCGGCAGCAGAAGAGCGTGGTGGGAAGGCGGCGGCCGCACCTGCAGAGCCAGCAGGCGGGGCTCAGGCAGGTGGAGCCACTACCGTGGGAAGTGGGGCAGCACAGGGCGCCGCCGCTGACGAGGCTGCCACTCGCCTGCCGCTGCCTGTGTTTGAAGACAGGGGGCAGGCGGCACCTCAGCAGCAGCGGCAGCAGCAGCTGCAGCAGCAGTGGCAGGCGCTGCACATGTTTGAAGACAAGGGGCAGGCGGCACTGCAGCAGCAGCAGCCGGCTGCGGTCCCATTGAGTCCCAGGGACCCAAGGCTCGCAGCCGCCATGCTGCGCCGGCAGGTGCAAGCGGCTTCCCCCAAGGGCGAGGCAGTGGGGGCCCGCAGCGGCGGTGGCAGGCCTGGTGCCTGTGGCGACAGGCCAGCAGCGCATGGCAGCCTGAACAAGGTAGCACCTGCCAGTGCCAAGGACGAGGGCAAGGCTGCCAAGGATGCTGCCAGCCCACGCCGCCAGTGAGCTGCCGCCCATCCTGCTTTGCTGCTCTGCAGCTATGGCTGCCATGCACTAGCGAGCATGGCCGCAGGCTGTGGCGTCATGCCTGCAGCACTGGGCAGGGTCCTTGCTGCCTTGCTGGCTGCATGACAGGCCGCTGGACCGCCTGCCTGCCATGCCATGCGTACCCCTGCCCACAGGTCGCCGCGGCGGCGCAGCGGCGGCGGCGAGGGCGGCCAGGAGCGCCCTGGCAGCGACCGGAAGCGCGCTCGCCGGTCTCCCTCTGCTGAAGGTATGCCAGCAGCCTGCCTGTGGCCTTTGCTTGTAGGCCTGGTTGCAGCAGGCGGGCGTGGGCCGCCCAGCAGCAAGCACGGGGCAGCAAGGCACTCATGTGCTGCCTCCTGTGCGCAGGCCGCCGCGGTGCCAGCGCCAGCGCCAGCCAGCGGCGGCAGGGCGGGGCAGGCGGGCACGGGGTGGCACGTGAGCGGGGTGAGCGCGAGCACAGCCCCTACCCCCGCGGCAAGCATGCTGCCAGCCAGCAGCCACGTGTCCCTGGCGAGCGGGACGCGGAGCGGCGGCAGGAGGCTGGAGGCCGCTCGCATGAGCGGCGTGGGCCGCCGCGGCAGCGCAGCCCCCCTGCCCGCCAGCTGGCCGATGCAAGCCCTGGCCGCCAGGGGCGCACGGCTGAGCTGGAGAGGCGGGTGGAGCTGTCGGCGGCAGCGGTACGGCGGCGCCGCCAGGAAGGGTACCGCCCGCAGGAGGAGCAGCAGCAGCTGCCGCCCGGCGGGCGCGACTCGCGGCGGCGGCCGCCCTCTCGCAGCCCAGAGCGCCGCAGGGCGCCGCTGCCGCGCTACGTCGGCGGTGCGGGCGGAGTGTATGGGGGCGTGCGGGGGCCTGCCGGCCACGACACGCCTGGCAGCCCCCAGCCCCTGGCAGCCCAGGCCCCCCGCCTGTACACACACATGACCCCCGATCTGCCGTTCTTGAGCCTCGGCCCGCAAGGCCATGCCCCCGGGGCAGAGCATCCGCCAGCCAGCCTGT